AAGATACATATAACTGAGTACTTTTTTTACTTCCATATATAGAATAGATTTTGCATAAATCTCAAAAAGTCGAAATAACTCAAAAATCTAAAATCAATTTTGGGAACATGTATAGTTATGAATATACCTTTCTGAATATTTATACTACAAAACTTCAATAATTGCACTAGAGCGTACACCACATGCTACAAGTAATCACACATCATCTTGTATTTCTGAAGTAAATCTTCGATAACAGGACACGAGAGAAGAAATATTTTCAACAAGTTTGTGATTATGCTGATTTTCAACCTTCGTGATGTAAACTAGATCATCACTCTTCTAGCAGTAAATGTTAACACGAAATTTGCAGTCATCACTATTATGTTCTGTGTTACAGTTTTCTTTGTGTGCCTCTTTTTTTGATATATATTTCTGTCCTCTTGTGTATGTATAAATGTGTCGTCACAGTATTCCGTCATTTTTATCTTTTTCACTGTGGATAATTGTGAAGACAAAGCCTTGTTCCAACTTGTAATTTTTAAGTCAACTTAAAGTGAAAAAAACAAGCGAAAAAAAAAAGTTAGTTCTTTTTTCAACAACTTATTCTTGAAGGGAGTATTCAGATATTACGTATTTATTAAGATTTGTTCAATTATCAAAAGACATCTCTGGTACTACTGGGTAAAGTGAACTATCTCTATTGTCAAAAGACTTGCTGTCTTCTATATTTTCAGTTAGATGAATACTCTCAAGGTCAAATGGTTCTATTGATATTTTACGCGTTTCTAATGGTACTTCAATAGAGTTATCCTGATTTTCCTCATAATAATATTCCTGAAGACCGGGAGCTGGAGAGGAAGGAGAAGTTGAAGAAGAAGAGATAGCATGGGAATGTGAGGAAGAGATGATGTGGGAAAGTGAAGAAAGAGCTGTTGTGTTATACATGATGTAATTCAAGTACGACGCATTGATCATTTCGCTGTGTATTTACTTTTTAAACAAAATAAAAAGCATGTGGTTGCAATGATAATTGATCCAATTACATTCTACAACGTCAGACTTGTCGTGTGACTGTATTGCAGATTTATTTCACATGATATGGTGCATAACACCACCGGTGTGTTATAAAATTTTTGATATATAATATACTCGATAACTATTTATTTTTATTAATATAATTATTATTGCATATAATAAATGTATGAAATTTAAAATGTTCTAAAAATAT